GGAAAGAACTCTTAGTCATTAAACCTAAAACTTAAACTCAGAATGCGATATTTTTTAAGAGGAATGAGAGCAAAGTGCCAAAAGTCCCGTTTTGCTACCAAATGTTGTATTTATATTGGCTACGGCAACAGAGGGATAGTCGCGTCACGGCCCGGTAGTAGCTGCGTGACGCAACCGTAAGCTTGCCGGTGACCGCGACTATACTTTTTCATACTAGTTCCGCAATATCCATACCAACAGTACAGGCGTTACACGGGCGCGCGCCCAGAGGTGTCAGCCCTATTAGAACTGCGTGACCCGCAGCTAAGAGTGCCGTCACGCAGGTAGTAGCTGCGTGATGCAAACCCCTAATGCGGGTCAGGCTCCTCTTGGGCCGGTTGTTCAAATTTTTGGTTCAAAAACACTTCTGGTTGAATCGTGATACCTTGTTCCTTATCCTCATATCATCATTTGGGTCAGATGGGGATAAAAAATTAACGCGTCCACATATAGGCAATTTTCCTTCCTTAGAAATGCAAATAGGAAGTACTTAGGACGAGTTTAGCGCACATGTAATTTTTCATTCAAGGTATTTTTAGGGTAACCTATTTCTATCACATAAAGTGGTTTGCATTTATGCTCCATACCTGTGAACCCCCTCCCCAAAATATCAATGCAATGTGAAATGCATGTGACTAAGGAAGAAATGCACGTGATGTGTGAGTCGCCACCTTGTTTAATTATTTTAGGGTAAACTAGGAAAAAACCATAAATGACTCCAATTTTAATTAACCTAATTACTAGATTAATTAACCCAATGTTAAAGGCATGGTTTGCAAACCCGAGATGGATCCCGAGACTATGTCATGCTGATGAACGAACCATGAATGAATGCTTTGCAGGGTGATTAATGTAATTTGGACCAATTTTAAGTGATTGCGACTTGCCGCTCGGGGTTAAATCCCAAACGTGCCTACAAAAAACGTGCCTACGTACTTCCATTTGATGGAAAGAATCAAAGTCAACGTAGTTTCGATAGGCCTTCCTTTGAAGGCTTTGAATGGGGATGCTTTATGCATGAATGAGTGTGTGTATGCTTTGTGCATTTTGTTTAGGCATTTTGCCAAAGATTGATTGTTTTTTAGGCATTTGTTGCCAAAATGTTGGTTGGGTAATTTCATTGCCAAAATGATTGATTTTAGGCGATTGTCGCCAAAACGATTGATTTTAAGGCTTTTAGCTAAAAAGGATGATTTAGGCAATTTGATTGCCAAAATGATTGATTTTAGGCGATTGTTGCCGAAACGATTAATTTTAAGGCTTTTAGCCAAAAAAGAGTGATTTAGGCAATTTGATTGCCAAAATGATTGATTTTAGGTGATTCGCCAAAATGATTGACTTTAAGGCTTTTAGCCAAGAAAAAGAGTGATTTAGGCAATTTGATTGCCAAAATGATTGATTGGGCGTTTGTCGCCAAGATTGATTGGGCGTTTGTCGCCAAATTGATTGCTTAAGGATTTTATTTGCCAAAAAGCAATTGTTTTGAAGGCTTTTAGCCCAAAATTGGTGATTTAAGCGATTTGTCGTAAAGGTGGTTAATCTAAATTCATAGCCAATTTGTTTGCCAAAATTGATTGAACCGTGGGCAATTTTGTTCCAATGTGGTTGATTTAATTGTAGGCAATTTGTTGCAAAACCGTGATTGATTAAGGCTTTTTAGGCCACAATTATTGATTAATTGGAACCTAAGCCAGGCTGTTCGAAATAAAGGCAATTAACCATAGTTATTGATTAACTAGTCTTTTAGGCCAATATTGTCCGGATTTTAGGCTTTAATAGCCAACGATTATTAATTAACCGGGCATTAGCCTAAAATTTATTTAAATTGAGGCAGTTTATTTTGCCTAATGATGACATGAAATTGCGTTTAATGCAGTTGTAAGAATTATTAGGAGTAAAGAAGAGAAGCATGCATGAAGTGCTAATTAAATAGGTAAAAGTTTAGTTTTATGTACCCTGATTTAATCGACCGGCCAGCTTCTTAACTCCAGGTTAGCTCTCGTTTAAGGGAACATTAGTTAATTAATTTTAGTGAGCCAATTAGACAAGGCAGAGAAAGCGATAAAATCTAAAATTAAAAAATGCAGAAAAGCAGTAAAGAATCGCAAAGAGCGTAAGGGAGAAGGAGCGTCCGTCAACACAGACTGAGTGAGTAAAAACGGAGGCCTGAGGCCCCATTTTATAGGAAACGGAGACCCGAGGGCGGTGCCCGCCCTCAAGGGCGGGCGTGCCAGCCTCAGCTGGGCGGGCGTGCCCGCCTTAGATGGGCGGGCGTGCCCGCTCTGCCTGGGCGGGCGTGCCAGCCCCAGCCAGGCAGACGTGCCCGCCTGGCTAGGCGGGCGTGCCTGCCCTGGCTGGGCGGGCGTGCCCGCCTGGCTGGGCGGTCAGGCCCGCCCTGGCTAGGCGGTCAGGCCCGCCCCTTGAGGGCGGGTGTGCCGTGTGCTCCTTTTTTTTCATTCCGGAGGCTTTTTCGGGAGTTCCGGACCTCCAAAAAATATTCCGGGATCAGTTCCGCGATCCTCATAATTTTCCGGACATTCATTTCAAGTACCATATTGGCTATTTCAGTGAACTTCCAAAATGGTTTGGT